GTATGTAATTCTACTCTTGTGCTATAGATTTTTAAGCGTTCAAGTTCTAAAAATACTTTTTCTAAATATGTATTAGATGTTAGGCTCTTTGTTTTGATTTATATCATCATCAGAATGCTTCTGAAAGACCATTCCATGAATTGATCCTGGAAGTAGCTCTACTGGTTTTGTCAGGTCCAAGCATACCCCATGCTCTCTAGGATTACAAGTAATAACAGAATCATAAAAGTATTCCAAGTTTGGGAAGCATTGGGAAGAAATTTTCAGGCAGTAATAACATGAAATAATTTCATAATGGCAAATAGGATAAAGACATGCTCTCTGAAGGTAATTATAATGCAGTGACCTGTGAGAAGTAATATTTAGTAACAGGAATAAAATAAATATACAAAATATACCACAAGGCAGCACATGCTCCACAAGCATGGTACAAACAGAAACATGGAACTTGAGAGAAGGGGGAATTTTTTTGGTACCGGGGGTCAAACTCAGATCCTTGCACTTGCGAGGCAGGCACCGGAACCACTGAGCTAGATCCCCGGCACTAAGGGAGAATTCTAACAAGGCTCCAGGTAGGAGCTGTAATACAATGTAAGAGCAAAATATACAATGAGTGTTTAAGCTTTTAGAAATTACAATAAATATGTCATTAATCCCCCTCAAAATACTCCCCCCTCACTTTGAATTTATCTTTCTTGCCACCTTCCGAACCAGTTCTGGAAGTTCTCTGTCATGATCATCTTTATGAAGTGTGATCAAAAATGTTGCTGCCAAGTATCATCCAGCTCAAAGGTATCCTCACAAAATCATTATGGCTCTTTCACAGAAGTCAAAATGACCGTGAAAGGTAAATGCTGTGAATCAATTCGGGACACTGAGGCAGCCACAACAGTGTAACTAAAGACACTCGTGAAAGAGCAATTCCGAAATGCCTTCAGAGAGTGGCAAGAATGACGCATACATAAGCTCAAAGCAAGGGGAATCGTTTTGAGGGGGATTAATGGCATCGTGTCTTTTATTGTAATGCATTTTTTAAAAAACTTAAACATTCACCGTAGTTTTCCAACACACCTTTGTGTTGTTGTTGTTGTTGTTGTTTTGGCACTGGAGATCAAACTCAGGACCCTGCACTTGTGAGACAGGTGGCAACAGCACCACTGAGCTAAATCCCTGGCCCCGTCAGACTTTGTTTTTTTTGGTGCCAGGGATCGAACTTGTGTCCTTCAGTTCGTGAGGCAGGCAGTGGAACCACTGAGCTAAAGCCCCAGCAACCCCACCACACTTTTGTATATGACAGGATTCAAGGGTTTCAACAGATTTGGGGTCTAGTAGAAGAGACGGGAGGTTTCTGCGGCCGGCAGAGATAATTTAATGTGTTGTCAGAAATTACAGCAAGCAGTTTGCTGTATATGTTTGTTTTAGTGAAAAGTAAAGCTGGAAATTGGGCTGGAGACAAACAATTGAGCAAGTGTGAGATTGAGTAGTTGAACTTAATATTATGAGGAACTACTGATAGCTTCTAAAAAAGGATAATCATGATCTGGCCACTGCTTAGGAAGATGGTTCTGTCAAGAGCATGTGAGGAATTGGAATGAAAGCAACTAAACAGGAGACTACTGAATCAGGGACTACAGCAAAAATCCAGACAGGGATCAACGCTTGACTCAGGGGAGAGGTAATGGAGCTGGAGAGGAGGGGCAGAAGGAACAGCCATTACATTAAGTTAGCTTCTGTCAAACACCAGATGAGATATACAGCCTGTACACAAATGATCGTGTATCCATGGGGGGGAGGGAAGCCAAGCACTCAGTGGCTCTCCCAGAGCCTGTAAAAGAGCACACGCAGTATTGACCGGCTTATCCCCTTCTGTGCTCACCCGGCTCCCCAGTCTGTGCAGCTCCCAGAAGGTTACAAGTGGGCAATCTGGTTCCTCAGCCTCTCCAGGACAGTGCCACGAGGGAAGTATCCTAAAGGCTTTGCTCTTTCCCTATTCCTTAGTGCCAGCTGGAACCCTTTATTCCCTCACAGATACTGGTACTCTGCTCCCCTAACCACCTCACTTCTCCATGCTCAATCCTTGGAAAGTCCCCTTGCCCTCACTTATTTGATTGCTTCTTCATTTTGGAATCATTCCTTCCTACAGGGGCTACCTCTTTTTATGTTCTACTCTTAGCTTAAATTCCAAGATCTTTCACTGTACTCATGCCCTTATCTAATAATACCCCAAGGCCCTCACTGACTTTCATCACAAAACCTATTCCAGATCAAATCCGACTGTCCCACACGATGGTAAGTGGCCGGAAGGGAATCATACCACCTAGCTAAGTGGTAACAAAATACATGACCACCAACTCAAGAGGGCCTTCAGCATTGTCCATACTGTGCTTTGCTAGTCATTCTTCCATTCTTCAAAAGGACTATTTCTTAGCTTCTTGTAGCTCTTTAACTATCCAACAATCCCCTCCCCATCCACAGTTTTGCATTATACAGAGTCAAGGAATGCACACAGACCAGACCTTACCTCATCAAATCCTGTGGGGCAGCAATCACATATAGCGCTTGGTGTGAACTGTGAAAAGGTGCATGCCCAGTGTGTGTGTGTGTGTGTGTGTGTGTGTGTGTGTGTGTGTGTGTGTGTGTGCGCGTGCGCGCTGGGTGCCAAACTACTGAAAGCTACCACATCTCAGGTAGAGCAATTAGAATAGTGACCCTTCCTCCAGGCTGAAGTAGTTCCAGGAAGCAAATGCCTCGTGGCAAAACAACTGCTAAACTTCAGGTCCCCCTGCTCCCTTGCTCTGCTGTGGTCTGACCATGCCATCATTAAATGTACAGCCTGATCCACCTGCAGCTACACCAAGATAATGTGGGTTCCCTGAAGAAACATTCTGTGAATGGATTGCCCTTGCTCTCGTCCAAGGTCCACCCCCCACTCTTTGCTAGGCCCTACTGCTTCTTAGCTACTTACGGATAATCTTTTTCCACTTGTCTGCTGTTGTCTTCTGTGTCATCAGCTTTATCTCTCTAAAGCTGATTCCAGCATACCAACATGAAGAAGCATCTCCCATTTTAAAATACCCTCCTTTGACCGCGATACCCTTCTAAATGCTGCTCATTTCTCAGCTGCTCTTCACAGCAAAGCTCAAGAGCTTTCTCTTCCTCTCCTCTATTGTCCTAACACACCCTGATCACACTTTCTTCCCCATGGCTCCTCTGCAAGAATTTTCATCAAGGTCATTAGCAACCTTTATCTGGCCTAATTCAGCTTTCCATCCTCAATCCTTAGTTGGGGATGTGGCTTAGTAGCAGAATGCTTGCCTAGCAGGTGCAAAGCCCTGAATTCAACGCTCCGCATTGCAAAACACAAAACAGCAAAACCCCCAAACAAATAAAAAGAAAAAAACTCTACCCATATGATTATCTGGTCAGACTGATCACTCCCTCCTTCCTAATTCCCCCTCATCTCCTAACATCTCTCTGTGCCCCCACCCCATACTGGGGACTGAATCCAGGACTTTCACATTTAGCTACATCCCCAGCCATTTTTTTTTTTTCCTTTCGTTGTTGAGACAGAGTCTCACTATGTAGTTGAGACTGCCCTGGAACTCACCATGTAGCCTGGGCTGGTCTCCAACTCACAGCGATCCTCCCACCTCAGCCTCCTGAATGCTGGGATTACAGGCTTGTGCCACCAAGCCTGGCCCCAGCCCTTTTTAAATGTTTGTTTCATTTTGAGACAAGACCCCCCCTAAGTCTCTAGGTTGCCCAGGCTGGGCCCAAACTCCCTATCCTCCTGCCTTAGCCCCTTAGCCTCCCAGAGTGCAAAGATTACAGGCCCATGCAACTATACCTGGCTCTTCTCCTAAACCTCCAAGTACTGGGGTGCCTCTTGGTCCTTTCCTGTCTGAGCGATTCTGTGTAAACCTGACCCTTAAAAGCTTGTGCCAATGAACCCCAAATTTATATCTCCGAATTCATACATACAATTATTTACTCAACATCTCTACTTAGATGTTTAGGAGGCACTTTAAACAGAAAACTCTTGATTTCCCACACTCCAAATTTGCCCCTTCTTGAATGTTCTCCATCTCATTAAATGCACCACCACTAATCCAGTCAACTAATCCAGGCCCTGAATCGCAGAACCATCCATGACCTTACTTCACACTGTTCTCCCAGGCCAAATTCATTCCAATCAAAATGTATCTAAAGAGAACTAAAATAAAATATAAAACAAAATGACTCTTTCCTTTCGGAATACTCTGGGGTCATCCTACTCCAAGGTAACATAAACTGCCTCCTTTATGGTCTCCTCGGATGCCTTTTTTCCTTCCTCATCGGTATTTCACATACATAGCAAGATTAACTTAAAATGTGAATCAGATGTAGTCATTCCTGGGCTCACCCTCCCGGGGCTTCCTGTCGTTCTTATAATGGCCCAAAGGCTCCACAGGCTCTGGCTGCTTGCCCACCCTTCTGGGCCTAACTACTCCCACTTTTTGGCTTGCTGATTCTGCTCCGCTGTACTGGACTCCAGTTCTTTCTGCAAGCATCTTCGCACCTATGCAGTTATGGCTGATTTTTCTCTCAATCTAGAAAGGCTGCTCTTCTCTTCCATTTGCTAGGATTCGCTAGGCTCCTTCTTTCCTACCATGCGTGTATGTGCACAAAGGTCTCTGAGAGGCACTGTCTGACCAGCTCTAAATCCACTCCGTCCCCTGCTTTATTTTTCTCACCACTATCACCACCTTGCAACTATTTTGTCTCCCCCTCTCCCTACATTAGAATGCAAACTTCACAAGGGCCTTGGCTTCTCTATGGCTTTACCTCCTGTGTCTGGAACAGTGCCAAGCACATATTAGGTGCTCAATTAGTACTCAGAGCATGTTTCGGTCCCTCGCAATTTTATTCCGCCGAAATCTTTTACCCTCCCTCTTCCCCACACTACACTCTGCAGAACTAGTTGGAAATCCCTCTGCAGTACAACTCTCCGCCCTCCTCACCTTGTCTCTCGCGGCTCCTTTAAACTGACTTCGAACGCACGCGGAAGGCGGGGCCGAAACCTCCCCACCGCGACTAGGAGGGGCGGGGGGGCGGAGCTGGAGGCGGGGCCGGCGTGCTGCGTGCGTGCGCGTTCTGGAG